CCTCGGGAGGGCCGGGCAGCAGCCGACCCGCGGCGGGAGAGGGGTGTCAGCTGGCGGTGTAGGAGAGCAGGGCGGCAGGGGTGGGTCAGGGGGACTTCGCCTGTCGGAGCCGTCGGGGAGCCGGGATGCTGTGGTGCAGGTGAACGGCACCCGGGTGGCGTCGGGGGAAGGCTTTGGTCTCCTCCTGGGCAGTCTGTGGGGGCAAACCGGGCCGTGTCGGCTCCTGGGGGAGTCCGGGGACGGGGACAGCACCATAGCGCGGAGGGGCAGGGTGTGAGGGGGCTGGGGCACAGCGCCCTTTCTCCTCACTTCCCACAGATAAACCCCTCCTTTGGCTTTTCCCTCACGCTGTCCTGTCCTGGTGTGCGCTCGCTGGGTGTAAGGCTTGCCCTGAAGAGGTGAGGGGTGTTGGGGAAGGATGAGTGGACATGACTTGGTGCCCTGGCTTCCCCTGAGGTCCCCGAGGGAAAAGGAGACTTCTGCTCTGTGAGTCACCTGGCCCTGGTGACAGCAGTGGGCTGCAGGAATGTCACCGCCAGCGTGCCTGCTCCTCCCCACGAGCGGTGAAGGGTCCCAGGGGTGGTAGTGCAGATGCAGGGACTTCCCGTGAGGGAGGATAGATGAGGTGAGGTGAATCCCACTGGAGATGACCTCCTTCTGAAGGACTCTGAGAAACGAGGAGAGAAGGTTGCTGCCCTTCCCTTCCCAACTGCAGGCAGGAGAGGACATTTCTCCTTCCACCCCTCTGCAAAGTCTTCTGTTGGCTCCTAGGTGCACAGAAGATATATAAATTCTCAGAGGGGCTGATCCTTAAGAGTGCCCAGTGTAGCACCCTGTGCCCCACTGTTGGGAGCCATGATGTGACACAGCTGCAGAAGTGACCCTTGAGGACTGAAATGAAGAACACATCACTTTGTGACATTTTCAGGGGCAGAGAGGTATGAGGCCTTGAGAGCTGGGAAAGGAGAGGGAAAGGCAGAAAGTTTAGATGGAAGAGAGAAGTAAGGGTAAAGGGAAAGAGTGAGTACAGAGGGGTGGGTAGGGAAGGTTGCATTTGGGGACAAAGCAAGGTCCAGACAGAGATACAAAAGTAATTGATGAATCAGGAAAAGAAGGAGGGAGGTCAGGGTGGATCAGCATGGATCCTGCTCCCAAGTAGCCCTGTGTTGTAATCCTAACTCATCTGCTGATGGATCACGAGGAGGAGGAATGAATAGGTAAGCTGTGGAGCAGATTGCTGATAGGTGTTACGGAGTCCGTCATGAGATGTATTGAAGGAAAGATTGGACGTGCACCTGTCAGGACTTAATGAGTCTTGGGGCTCATCTGGATCACCTCTTCTTAACCTGTTTTTCTGTGATTCCGTGAAATCCTGTCCTAGTAAGAACGATTTTCATCATCTGTTTGATATGGCATACATGGAATATCCAGTTTGGAAATTGGAGATTGTCAAACTGTCGACTGGCAAAAGTGTTGAGTAACCTGATGTAATGTCAGGGTCAGTCCTGCTTTGAACAGGGGTTTGGACAGGGTGACCTTCTGAGTTCCCTGAGAGCCTGAACTGTTCTGTGTTCCACATTTTACCAAAATGTGCTAGATTTATTATGAGCAGTTATTAACATTTTTAGTATTAACCTCCCCACTGTATTCTGGAGCTGAAGAACTTGACACGCAGGGATAGGTGAACTCATTTCCCTTTTCACTCAACGCTTCCTTCAATGATTAAAAATGTAACACTGACTGAAAGCAATTGAACAATGCACTGAATTGCATTTGGAGGTCTTCATCTTTCTTCTGACTTGAAATGAAGGCTGTTAACATCTCCTTTGTGATTACTGGAAATACCAGGCTGTGCATAAAACAGAGTATTTGCAGGATGTTTGGCTTAATTTGGTCGTTGCTTTTTGTTCAAGTCCTAAAATTTTGGGAGGGAGGGGTGTTGCTTACTTTTCTATAATGGCCCAGTGTGGCTGAAATCTGTTTTTTCACGTAAGAAAACGGGGGTGGGGGCATAAGGGCTTGGGGTGTTTTAAGTCTTTTTATATTTTTATTACTTTTTTCTTGGGGAGAGCTTTAGATTCACAGCACAAAGGAGTCCCCCCCTGTGAGCTGGGTGCTACAAAATCAAAGCAAAAAGGCAGTCTCTGTCCCACAGAATTTACACTGTAGCAACTTAAAGGATCATTTAGTTTGTAAAGTGACCTGATTCTTGTCTGCCCTGTGCAGTCACTTGCAGCAAAGCAAAGGGATGGTAAAATGGGGACATAACCTCACTTTGTATAAACTGGTTGAAGTATGTAAATTATGTGCAAGACCGACAAGAATTAGGCCAAAGTTATTTCTTCATCAGTTTTCTGAAACTTGATTTCTCTCTCCCCAGCAATATCATACTTTTGTCTTGATTTTGTCTCCAAGGAATGGCTGAAAAAGACTGTAAAAAGTGTCTTAATTTGAAGTGTTTGGCCATAAAATAGGAGATAAATTTACGTAAGCAGTCATGCTAAAACCAAGGGAAATACTTGGATGAAAGAAGAAATTTCTTTCCTATGTTTCCAGAATCTGAGATAATGGTGCTATTAATAAGGATTCCTGAATGTTAGCTTAATATCTGGATTACTGCTTTATTTCAGCATCATTAGCTGCTATTCCAGAATTTTTCAAAACAGTAACAGCAAAAATATACACATGCTGATATTTTTTTGTAATAATTTAAAATGGTGTTCTTAAATATAAAAGTTTCTAAGAAACTTCCACAGTTTTTGAATCATTTATTGTTTTTATTATTTTTGAACAATGTGCTAATAACTGAGGCCAAGACTTTCAGAAATTATTTCCCAGAGCTGTTCTACCTCAACCCATATTTAGATATCTGAAAAGCTGAACCTGCAAAAATTCAGTGAAATTTAGGAATGTAGCTGACATTCCTGTGTTTGAAAGCCTTTTCCAGCATGCACAAATGTGTGATTTGTAGCATACTTCCAGCAATTTCTTTAACTTTTTAGTCTTGGTTTCAGATTTGTCTTGATAAACATTGTGTTATGTTTTATAATTTTTGCCTTCCCTAGATTTATTTTTTAACCATCTTCATACCCTGTGCATTTCATGTGCTGTTGTAACACTGAACAAGGAAGACGAGCACTGTATAGATAGAAGATAGTTTGTTGACACTGGGTTTGCTTGTTTTAATGCACTGTTGAAGATAAAACACTTAAAACCGTAATTTTTGAAAAGCAGTATGTTTTCAGTTCCTGAAATAATAGCTTAGTGTGGAAAACTCTCGAAATCATGCCACTGTCCTTGTAGGGAAGTTCTGCAGAAAGGTCCTTTATAAGTTTGGGTTCTTGATATCTGTTTCACTGACTTGGCCTTCTCTCCATTCTTTGGGTTTTATGTTCTCTTTGTTTGAAAACAGTATTTTGTATTACGTATCTCCTTACATGCTAAGATCTCAAAACTGGTTTCCCAAATGCACTGCCGCTGTCTCTAAGGTAGGAAGTATCATAGCAGCTTGGCACGTTAGCAGACTGAAATATTGAGAGCTTTAGAGCTACTCAAAGTATGGAAGTTACTCCCGTGCAATGTCTAGAACAGAACCCAAAGACTGACTCCCAAGTTATGTACTTTTACCACTGAGCAACAGTAATTTTTGGCTTAGATACGTCTCAGTAGAGATGATAGTTAATCTTGGATGCTGATTTTGAGTTTTTCAGGACAAGCATAAAGTATGGCCAGAGAGTTTTGCAGAGTAGAATAAATGCCTTGGGGGAATACATGTGCCTTCTGTTAAAATAGTGAAGCAACTTAAAACTACCTTAAATCTTTGAAATAAATTTCCCAGATTTGAACCTGGGTACTTCAGGTACATGGGAGATTCCTGTAATAGGAGGACAGATAAAGCACTTGCTCAGTTACAGGACTGATGTGATTATGAAAGTACTGGTGTTTATGCGTGCCCCTCACATAAGCAGATGAAACTAATTAATGTCATGGAAGTTAGATGTACAGATGGAAAGACATTGCCAGTTAGCATCAAATAGATTTGATTTGCCAAAGTTAAGACTAAGGATGGATCATGAGTTTGTTAAAGGGGCAGCATTCCCTCTTTCATTGTTGTCATGATCTAGCAAATTCTGGAGCTCAGCATTATTCTAAGATATCCTTGTTTCCCATCTCAGGAGCTGTGTCAGCAACATAATTCCTGATGATTCCACCAAAGCAAATCAAGGGAATTTATGTCTTTAAGATAACACAAGTCATTATGCTCTTTTTTTCCCTCCGTTTACTGACAAGGATGAGCTACCAGAATGGAGAAAGTACAGCGTATCTCTGAGTGGGTGTATACTTTTGTGTCTGTTGTTGCAGATGAACACTTAGTTGTTTGGTCTGATTACGTCAGCTAGCTTTGGCAGTGGCCCTTTAAGAGTTGCTCAAGACAGTTGAGAGTGAATAATACTCTAAATTATCTCATGGACAGGGGTGTTTTTAATGCAGTCTGACATTAGAGAAGTGAGCAAGCAGTGGTTTTTGACCCAGGGTCTAACGTGGTTTGGATTACTGTAGTCAGCAAGCAGATATTCAGGATTTTTTACATTCCTGATTGTGTTGGAAGGAATGTCTGTTAGTTAGAGCAAGACACTGGGAATCAGGATTTGGCCATAGCATTTTATCACTTTGCTTCCTTATGCCTCAGTTTACCTATCCATAACAGAAGGACTAATTTCTACGTGTTTTGAGGTTCTGAGTAAACAGAATCATGCAAAGGTAAAGGCTTAGAATTTCTCATTGATTTGTATTTTTTGCTACCATCTATTTACAGTCATTTATGTTTCTTTTTTATATTTTCACTTGGGACTAAAACCATCTGCTTTTTTTCTTTTATTGAAGACTCGATCTTTGCTCAGTGTATTTGAAGAAGATGCAGGAACCCTTACTGAATATACAAACCAGCTGCTTCAGGCAATGCAACGAGTCTATGGTGCTCAGGTAATTTTTCATTTGTGTTTCTTCTGTTCGATGTGGAGTAGAAGATTAATTGCTATGATGATGCTGTTGTTTACATGAAAGTTGCTAAGTACCTGCACCTGTTGTGCTTTAAGAGGAGTTGTGGGTGTTTTCCATCTGATATCAAGGCCCCTTCTTGCCTTGATATTCAAAAGAGTCATATGCATGAAAAAAATCTTACCTGCTTTGTCTGTCTCCAAACAATTAATGAAAGAAAAATTGTAGTATGTCCTTACCTTATGGTACATTGGAAGGCCAGCCTTGACAATATTGCTTGCCTAAACGTAGACACTATACACAGATAGGTATTTGCACTGACTTCAGGCATGTAACTTAGATGCTGTGACTCACCATTTAGAAGGAACTGTTTATGTCCATTGATTACAGAGAGAATGTACACATTGAGTCATACTGAAGTTGAGTACCTAAAGTAGTCAGGGTGAAAACCATGGAAGCAGGAGCAGAAACCGCCCCCCACACACACACTTTCTAAAGTACTTACATTACCTAGATGACTGAATCTCTTTGAAAGTAAAACTTAGAAGGCAAATCATACCTAGTGCTTTGGAAAATACTGTAAATCTGAGTGATTTTCAGTGAAGCTAGGATTCCCGTGTGCATAAAACTAGGTATTTAAAAATACCACGTCCAGATCTCTAAAGACACACACAGTATCTCATGTAACTTTTGCAAGTATTTATGTAGGTTAGAAACAACAGGTTTTCTATTGTTAAACCAGTAGATCAGAGGACACAGAGAGAGGAGGACAGTGTGGGTATTTTACTGGAAGACTGAGTGCCCGATTCTTACATTATCAGGAAGCAGTTCAGCTATGAAACTACTGCAAGTGTTTGTCCATTTGGTGGGATTGTTCTTTAGGGTGACTGATAGTGTGTCTTGGAAGAGCCATCTACCTGGGACCTAGCTACTTACGCCTGGAAGATCCAGCTTTGGAGAGCTTCGAAGTCTACTTGTCCTGGGCCCCATGCAAATACAGAGCAATCAGAGGCTTACAGCACAGCTTAGATACTTGGAAAACAACACAGCACATTGCCAGGGGCTGGAGAGGTGACATGAAATCAGCACTGAAAGTCAGCGATGGGCATTTTGATAGAGTCACTGAGCTTTAACGGTAGCAAGAGTGTGGGCATGTTGGATGGTAGAAATCTGAGACCAAAGAGCAGGTATGATTGAAATGGATGAAAGAAGGAAATCAGAGAATAAATGTGGTTTGATGATGAAGTGTCCAGCTTGTGAACTACATGTCCCTTTTCCATGCTGATGCCTTTTTAGGATGGCATTTTAGGAAGCGGTGGCCTGTGATTCATGAAAAAATGCATTGTCTGCTTTTGTTTGCCTCTTCCTTTCCATCTCAGCTTTTAGCCTTCTCCATTTCTGTTGCCCCACAGTTATGACATTTCCTCTTTCTTCTCGCTGTCTCAGCACATTTTCCTATCTGTACTTTTCAGCAGTACTGAGTCTACTTCATTTTCCTCTCACTTCTTGGCCACTTTCTCCCTGCAGACTTCCTGCTTTAGTTTGATTTAAATACTTGGTCACCTGTGAATACTGGATGTGTTCCTTGAAATACCTCATCTGAGTTTGATACTATTTTGGTATGGGAAGTGCACAGCAGTTGTTTAATGTCAGGCTTTGTACGGATTTGGAGGAGGGCACCCTACACTACAACTGACTTAAGAAAATTCAGGTTTAGTGACCAATGTTAGGGACTTCACCAAGGACACTGGCTCAACCTTTCATGTTCTTAAAGTTGGTGCTTCTGCTATTTGATTCTTTAGGAATCACTGTCTGTTGTCACTTCAGTTTAGGTTTGTGTTCTCAGAATCCAGTAGGAGCAAAAAAAATGACACTGCAGTAACAAGAAAGTATATCATATTAATTATGTAAGTGGAAAAGAAAATTGAAACTTCTTGTGGTTTTTTTTTCCTATATATGTTTTAAAAAAACCTTGATATTTTTAATACACTAAAACTGGGGCAAAAATCTGTTTGGTTTTTTTAAAATAAAAATTAATGGAAATATTTAATTCAGCTATATATGGCATAATTCCCAAGAGAATGGTGGTGTTTATAGGTTAACATTGAATTCTGACTAATTTTACCAAGCCTTGCAAATACCAGTATATGCTTGTCAGGAGCCCTTTCTGAATATTTCAGAGGAAGACATGCTTTCTGACTGAATTCACCCTCAATTTTTGAGAGGCACATGGCTTATTACAACATTATATGATTGCAATTGCTGTAGAAAGAGAAGTGTAATGCTGAATTGTACACTAAGCATAAATGGACAGTTAAGAAAAATCTATGTGTAATATTCCTTTGCTGCCTAATCACAACTTGAGAGGAAATAGACTTTAGCTGATGTGTTGTTAGCAGACACCTTGCCTGGGCCTCAATAGTGGCATATTAGGAAGTTTTAGCAATCCTTTTCATTTTGAGAAGGACCGAGATTTAGTAGAGTATAAAGTTGAGAGTATTGAGAAGCCAGGTTCTGAATTTGCCTTTTATTTTCCTGACTTAAATTTTGTCTTTGCCAAAGTCATTGTCATCCCCTGCTCTGATTTCCTTACCTATAAACTAAGAATTACAGTTACTGACCTACTTTGAAGCAATAACCATAAAAATGGCTGGAATCACAGATCTGGCAGTCAGACAAAACAGCAGTGGGTTGTACCAGTGCACAGTGTTTAAAAATCAGGGTTTATGCCCCCGCAAAACAGGGGGTAGTTTAAAACACCTTAATCTTATTTTCTTTCTAACTACATTCTGAACTTCAAAATTTTCCAGATGTCTCAACCATATTTTCAAGATTTTCTGGAGTAGTTTACTAGAAGTTTGGTGTTTCTTGTGATGAAAACTCAGATTTTCATGTAATTCAAACCACTGTAGCTTATGATCAAATAACAATAGTTGATGGTTCTGAATGGATGCAGTGCAGAGTCTCAGGGGAGTAGCAATTAGTACCAACTGCACGCTGTTAATTATCCATGTGGATATATGCATATATTTGTCCCAAAACACGGCTTTGTGTGCAGAGAAGCAATAAGTTTGTAAATTGACAGCTCAAGCTGCTCTAAATGCTTGGATCAGTGCCTTTGAAAGGAATGTGAGAAAGAAAAACATTTGCCCAGAGCTTTTAAAAACACTTAGGAAAGTAGGAATCTTTTTGAACATTCGTATCCCCTCCCCCCTTTTTTTTTTTTTTTTTAAGCTACAGATTTCTGCTAGGTGCTGGGGACCTAACTTTTCAGACTTAGATGTATTCAGGCAGGACTTACGCATGCCTTTCACTTTTCTAGTGACAGTTAGTGCGTTGTTGGAGTGGATGCATTCATTGGGATGGGCTTCAGTAAATGATGTAGATGAGACCTTTGAAATGACTTGAAACTGCTTCTGTCCTAAGAGTGGAAGGAGGGATCTGCAGCATCCTGTCACAGGGTGTAGCAGTGGATACGCTGTCGAGGCCTCTGGAGCCACTTGGTGCGGAAGGGCCGCTAACACCAGGCTGCAGCTGGTGATGATGCATCGCTAGCAGATTGCCCTCAGATCCTCCTGTGCAGGATCAGGATGATGCTCTCATCTCTTTGGTGCCCACCCCAGATGTGATGGTATAGTGACTCTGTTTTGCACATGGAGTCTTGGTGAAAAGGAGACTGCGATGCTACAAGGCAGATGCAGTGTATGATGCTGTGATTAAGGAGAAGTCATAGGAACCAAATGTATGAACTGCACGCAAGGAGTGAGGTTTGGTTGATATGGCAAGCCCATGTATGTAAATACAGTGAAGCATTTTTATATTTCTTCATCAAATAAACCACATCCGTGTGAGTATATATTGTACTTCCTGCTGTAGTTCTCCCATCTGTGCTCTGGTACCCTGAAATAGTTACCAGGTTAGTGTTCTTACAGAGGAAATCTTTACAGAGTTTATTCCTGTAGTTCTTCCTCCTTGCAAGCAAACCCTGATGCTGCATCTGGCATTACTGCTGTCTGATTCCTGTGAATGTTGTGTTCATCATTCTGGACATTTTATTACCTGAGCAATATATAATGCAGCCAGCAGGGACTGTTAGAAAATTTCATTTACTTAAGCTGCATGCTGAGGCTCTTGCAATGGTGTATGAGCACAGTGTGCCTAGGTTACATTCCTGACTTCCCACTGCCATAGTAAATTATTTTCAGAGCTTTACTATCACCTCTGGTTCTTCATCATACGATAGAAATGGCTCAGCTGTGATCATCACTTGAAACTAAATGGCATTTAGAAACTCAGAAGACTATTGTGTCTGTACTGATTATTAGAAGAATAAATAGGTAGGTAGGTTAGAGGAAAGTAAGATGCAATATTTTGTCATTGGAAAGAGGTTTCATCTTATTATTCCCGACAAATCTGACTAGATACTAAGAGCAGTGATGGCAGACGAGGAATAAAAAGAAACCCATGTTGCCTTTATCAGTGTATCCAGAGAGAGAACAGCATGGGAACTGTGAAATACAATTCTGTTTAATATCTGTGTCTCTGAGCAGTTGTCTTTTGACACCTGAGTCACGCAGGCAAAGCAGCAACAACTTCTGGGGCTTGCTGCGCTTTTATGAAAAGACTCTTAGGGAAACTCCTGACAATTCATGACACCTCATCTCTGCATTTTTCAGCAGTGTTGCTTGCTGCATCTTCTGTGTATTGACTTTGCTAGGCTCCAACTCAGTAGGCAGGTGTCAAGCTCTCTAGGGCATGCATGGATTTTTGTATTTCTTGTTTCATAGCTAACCCCGAGTGTTCAGAATTCTTGAATTAGTTCTTGCTAAACTAACAAGTAAGCACTGATAGAGTTTTTCTTTTAATTGCTTTCTTTTCATGTCTGAGGCAACAATTGTGTTGTCTTTTCAAATGATAAGACTTTTTTTTCCCAAAAGTTTTTGAAACATTAAAGTTTAAGTTAGTGTTTTGTAAACTTTCAACAT